TTTTTAATTCTCGTTTAATTGGAAACTTTTTGTTTCCCAATTTTTACCTTCCGCAAATTTCATAATGATCATTCTCTCAGCTCCACTGTCGCCCATTCAGCGAATCCCATCGTCCCTCCGTTTAACTATCCGCCAGAGTCGAAATCGCACTCCTCGTTATTCGCTCATTCATTCGAGTGGCGCGATTCGTTTTGCGGCGCAACGCGGAACGCGAGGGTAGCGCGAGAAGGGTGGCGCGAAACGGCCGTCCTCGAAAAGGAAACGGATATCTGTACGCGTTTCCCCAATCCTCCTCTTCCTCCTCATCCTCCTGCCTGGTGAAAAGGGAGTCGCGTAGTGGTTCACGCCCGTGTGAAGAGGGAAAAGAGAGGAGGAAAACATGGAGGACGAGGGAAAGAGAGAAAGATATATATAGAGGAACACCGACGGCTTATTCGACTCGTTTCATTCGCCGAGTTATATCTCGAGTTACATTTATGACCGCGGGAAGAGCTGCTTTCGAAGGGATTCGAATAGAGAAGAGGAGGGCACAATGGCGACGAGAGGATAAAAGGAAAACCTGCGCCACCCTTATGAACTACGTTGACCCGGTGCCCTCGTAAAACATTGAGCCGACAATGAGAGCTGCCACATGGTTTGGATGGAGGTGCATTTCGCTGGAGGATAGCTGATAATGCCAATACTGACAATGACGCGCCGATCTGAGAACCGTAATAGTACGGTTGTCGATACGCGGACACGTCAAACCCGCCGCTCTCCTCCCGTCCTCTCTGCCCTCGTGAACTCTAACGTGGAAACGAAACGACGGCTACTGGGAATAAGAGACGGTCGCGCTCGTTTCGTGCGCCAAGGATCCTTGCGAATGTGTGTTTCTTTTCCTTTTTTCTTTGATCTCGGATCGATGACGAGGGTTTTCTCCCGATATATTTACGTATTTTTGCGATCGAAAATACGAGGATCGAACGAGTTTTCGATATTTTCGTCGATATGTACGAGGTGGGCGAATATATCCACTTTTTGTTATGTAAATGTTTCGAGAGAGTTAATAGATTTATAGAAATTTATGGGAAGCTCGAGCGTGATTTACACAGCGAGTATATGATGATGAGCAATGAAGGGGGCAGCACACAACGACGCTCTTTCTTTCCTTCCCTTCCGTCTTTTCTCGCTCCTTTCTCTCGCTCTCCTCTTCCATTTCCGCTTCCAAAAAGGACAATTTTCTTTTCTTTTTCTTCACTCTTCCGCCAGTCTGTATCCGGATCCCAAGGTACGTTTCGTAAGGTAACGACGACGACGGTCTTCCGGCGCGCGTGTAATTAAAGCTAGTAGCGCAGTCCTTGTCTGTACACCGCGTGCATCGTAAAGTTTATCGTGCAATTTGCGTAATGTGCGTAGAAAATTCTAACGACTATGGGGGGAGGGGGCGCGGGCGTGCGCGGTTTCTTTCAATTAATTCCGTAGCGCGGCAACCGCTGAGCGGTCGCCGGGTAAATAAATAATCGGGCGTAAAACGTACTCTTCGAGAGAAAGGGAGAAGAGAGAGAATGGTAATAAGGTGGAAGGAGAGAGTGTAGTCGAAAGGAGGGACTAAAGATCCGACCGGGAAATTAATTAAAAGAGAAACAATCGTTTTCTTTCTTCCTCAACTTGTTCGTTTATTGCGTTCCGCTTCGGCCTTCGACTTCTCTTCCCCGATTCTTAAGTTGGGAATAGAGTTAATCCCTCCCCTTCCCCCCGACAAAAGTGGAATTCTCGAATTATTCACAAGATGCAAAAGGATCGTCACGGTTCATTCGTTTATTTCGTGACGAAATATGAGAACCGAATCATACCTCCCGAATCCGTTTTCGAGAATCCGTATCGGATTCGGCCCACCCACCGATAAAAGGGTGACTAAGAGAAAGAAAAAAAAAAAAAAAAAAGGAAAGAAATGAAAAACGAAGGAACCACCGGCACGAATCCTCTTTTTAATTTCTAAACCTTCCCTCCTCAGGGCCAAGAGAAAACGGTAAGGTCGGCGGTAATCCCATTTGTCTTCCAGATTCGGTCCAACCGTTGTCAGGTACAAATGTAAAGGGCGACGAACAGGTACACGCGATCGTGGATTTCTACCTGTTCCAATGGAAGCCTCGAGACAGCCTCCGTGTGTTCTCCGCTCTCTTTTCCTTCTCGGCTCGACGTTCCCGCGCGTCCGTCTCGGGGATTACTGGCAGATTTTTGTTGCTCCCCGGCCGAGAGTTTTGCTACGCGAACGAGAAAGGCCGTTCGATCGTCCCCCCCCGCGCAATTAGGAGGCGAGGCACGTATTTTCGAAAAAGCATTTTTCACCGGCGATCGCCAATTTTTTTTACTCCGCGCGCTTTATGCGCTCTCCGTTCCTTCCTTCCCTCTCCCTTTCCCCTCCTTCCCTCCCTGTCTCCTTCCTATATTTTGCCCCCCTCTCTTTTCCTCTCTTTCCCCGTCTGTCCTACCTCCCTGTCCCTGTAAAGCTGGAAAACGCATAAATACAAGGGAATTATGGGACTAAATTACGCGCTACATTTGAAAGTGTACGCGCGAGTGGGCGCGTGCGCGACGAAGTAGCTTACGACAGGCCAATCGATGGAAACCCATTTTTTCCCGACCCGTACATCATAGCCGAAATCGAAACTGACAACAAAAACCCCCGCTACGCGTATGGCGCGCAATAAATCACGGTAAAAAGAGCGGCGCGAGTTTCCCCTTTCTCCATCCCTTACGAGAAGGCTGACGAGAGGTTGACGAAACCCTAGCTTCTCGGTTACCGTCCTTTTCGATCCGATCTTACAAAGCGCCCTCCTTCCCTCTTTTCCCCCCTTACTCCTCCACTAGACCAACAGCAGTACCAAGGACCAAGGATCCTTCCTACCTTTTTCCTACCTTTTCTCTCCCTGTCATCGGACCTGTCTTCCAAATATTCGGGACATAGGAGGATAGGATCAGTCCTGTTCTCGATACGACGCGAATCCTTCGACATTAGACGAATTTAGAATTTATAAATATTTAAACTCCTTCCATTGTTTCCATTCCTCTTTTTTTTCCTTCTAGGAGGAAAAAGGGACGACGATTCCACCACTTTCTCGAAAATATCGAAAACCAGGGGGAATGGAAAGCGGTGGTCACGCATCGCTCGGCTAAATACGTTTCTTGCGTAATCCTTTAAGGCGAGCGGATCGTGGATAATTTCGGAAAAGCTGTATCGATGCGGCTTATCAACGGATCAGCCGTTAATGGCGCACAGGCGTGAACACGACCGGTTCACCGGATAAAAAGGGTCCCTTCCGCCTCCACGGATATCCCCCTCCCCGCATGGCCGTGTAGCCCGAGCCGGCCAGCTGAAACTGAAGCGTGTCACGAAAAGTTAAAGCCGAGTTGTTCTCGTGGACGCGAACGGCCACCTGACACGAATAAAAGGGACCGGGAGGGTGCGAGGCCATTGTCGCCTGGGGATCGACCGATCGATCGACCTTCCTAATTTCCTCGTCGAATCGCGACTATGAAGGCGTGGGCGACTGTGATATCGAACGAATGTTGGCGTTTCTAATCCGATAACAACTTATTTCGGAAGAGAGTTTCCGTTGCTTAAGGGGAAGACGAGTAGTGTAAACGAAGGAAGTAAACGAAAACAATGAAAATAAGAAAATATTACGAAGAATACGTGGAATTTATCCGCGGTTGTTTATAATTGAGCTTGTAAAGTTTTATAGTTTGATACCGTGGAAGAGGAATTGGCCATACGTCGAGGAATAAATGGTTGCGTTAAAAGGATACACAAGTTCAATAAGCTTGGTATCGGGGACGCGTTGAACGAATGGATTGTCGTGCGGATGCAAGGGGCGCATCGAACAAAAAGAAACAGAGACGGGAACGTCAATGATAATCGATTGAAGGCAATGCCTGCGAAAACGTGAGGACGATGCAATTTCGACAATGTTCCTTTACATTGCATTGGCAGGGAGCCATCCGATAAAGGCAACTTAATTGGTAAGTGGGTGAGAATTGTTGCGGACCCCGTTACACGTAGGGTGAATACGATCAATAGAGTTTTTCTAATTGGACGCGACGACAATTGGCCCAGCTACGACAAATTTCACGTCGTAATGCCGTACACATTTCGTCCATCGATTTTCGTCCATATGCTCCCGCAGAATCCGCCCTCGAAGAAGATGACCCTCGTTCACAACGAGGCGCGATTCAACAATGGGCACGCGAAATGTGTCCACGTTAAATTGAACCGAGGTAGGTGGAGAGAGAACTTCAATGACACGGTTGTAGTCTCGTTAGTTTGTCACTCACGGATGATATGCGAATTGTAAAGCGTTGGTCATTAGGGAGGGGCACGTATGCACGTGTTCGTTTCGATATTTTACGAACGAATTCGTTGGTTCGAGCGTAAGATTAAAATAAATCCGAATCGACGAGAGGGATTGGAGGAGGAAGCTCGAAGGATCGGACTGTTTCGGTATATATAATAAAAATCTGTCGAGCGACTAAGCCGGCGAGCCTTTCTTCCGAGACGATGGTAGAAGAAGAAGAAGAAGAAGAAGAAGAAGAAGAAGAAGAAGAGGAAGAAGAAGAAGAGGAGGAAGAAGAAGAGGAGGAGGAAGAAGAGGAAGAAGAGAGTGGCATAGATTTGAAGCGAACTGGAAACGGAATCGGCATACTTTGCTCGATAGGTATGTAGCCGTATAAACGATCGATGCGGAGAGTAAACGCTGTTCTTTTGTGAAACAGCGAAGGAAAGAAAGGAAGGAAGGAAGGAAGAAAAAAAAAAGGTTTATCTTTAAAGCGAAGAGAAATCATTGATCTCGATTTTAAGCCCAGTTCACGTCGATTCCATTCCACGCTGGAGGTTTCGAGCATTGTTATCGGTCTCGACTCGAACGTCCATCGTACTCTTTCGAGGGAAAAGAAAAAAAGGATCCAAGGCAGCTCCCTTTGAGAGTAAAAAGCGCGTAAGAGGATTAAATAATGGGTCTTACCTAAATAAATGGCTGTTCTACGTCCATTGATGCTGCGCCGGGGGCGGAGGCGGCGGCGGCAATGGCAGAGGTCTCTCCAAAACAGGAACAGGGGACACGTCTGGCATGGCGAACCTTAGCTTCTGCCAAAACAACTTGTCCCCCCACACCAGCACGGTGTGCGACGAGATCCTCTTTTTGAGATCGGCGTCGAGATCTCGTGGACACACACCGCCCACCAGGAGCAGGATCACCGAGCGGCCCTTCCCTTTCAGAGCGTCCCTGAGAGCCGCTTTAAACTCGAACCTGGCCCACTCTCCGTGCAGAAAGTTCTTGGACAACACGAGGATGGTGCGCCTCGAGGAATCTGCCGCCTCCGCAACTGCATCCGCCACGTTGCTACCGGCGCCCAAATCCCGGTAATGCAAGCACAGCCTGTAAGACGTCTCGAGGCCAGGCACCAGGATCGTGGAGACGAACGACTCGTCCACGGCCGAGTAAGAGATATAGGCGTCGAACGGTTTCTCTTGATCCTCGAACGCCGCCGTCTTGTAACACGCCCTTAGCCCGCATCTGCTCGCCGCCCATGTCCTCAGGGTCCGACGATGCCTGAACGCGCCGCACACGAGCGCAACCATGGCAAAAATGAGGACAGCTGTGGCGAGCAGTAGCGGGAGATAGGCCTCGAGCGGCCGGGTCTCGATCACCGAGGTCGCGCCCGTTAACGCCGCGCAATTTATGACCGATCCGTTCGCCGGAAGAGTAATGGGCATGCCGAGGGAACAGGTGACGCTCCTCCAGTCGCTTATCTTCGCCCTGTTACGGGACATCCACTCCCGAACCCGATCCAAGAACGAGCACTCGCAGTTCCACGGATTGCTCGACAACCCGATGTCGACGAGATACGGATTCTGGCCGAGTTGCCAAACGGCGAAAGTGCGGAGTCGATTGTTTTCCAATCGTAACACTTCCAGCTGACGTAGCGGAAGGAACGTGCCGTTATCTATGTACGTCAGTAGATTGTTCTGTAGGTAGAGTTCCTTCAGGTTCTCCAGAGGCATCAATTCCACACCGTTGAGCACGCTTATCTTGTTGTTCTCCAGATGGAGGACCAGCAACCGTTTCAAACCGCTGAAAGTGTGATTGCGTATAGCGATGATGTTGCTATCGTTCGCGTACAGGATCTGCAAGTTCTTCCGCCCGATGAACGAATGGGAATTCAATTCGCCGAAATTGTTTCCATCCAGGTAAACCTCGGTGGCGTCCATCGGTAATCGGCCGGGAAGGGTTTTGTATCCGGAATTGGAGCAATCCACCACGTTCGCCGCCCAGGATTGATCGTGATAGCAGGTACAGTTGGTCGGGCAGGTCATCTCGCAGTCGCAGGCGTCGAAGTCGCAGCAATGGCACAGCGCGAAACAGTGGGCCTTGTACGTGCACAGAAATTGAGACGGTTTCGCCTCGAGCAACGGTATGAACGATTTGTGACGATCGTACGGCAGCCTGCAATACACCGATTCCAAATCCATCACCCTAGGGTGTTGTCTCAACGACAACGAATTGATTCTTTGCAACCATTCCGTGGTACAGTCGCATATGAACGGGTTCCCACCGATGTAGAATTCCGGCAATTGTCGATAGTTGGGGACAGGGGTCAATTGGAACGCGGACAGATTCATCTTGACGATCTGATTCGCGTAAAGATCCACCCTGGTCAGATTCTTCTTGTCGGCGAACGTTTGCGGCTCCACCGTCTGTATCATGTTGTCGTTGACGAACAGAAGCTCGATGGAATCCGGTATCGACCTCGAGTGTATCCTCGTTAACCGGTTGAACGACACGTCGAGCGTCTGTAATCTCATTGCCTGTGGCGCGATCCCGAGATCCATAATAAGATTTTTATGCAGATCCATCCACTGTAATTTCTCCGGCAGGTAACCGTAATCGAACTGTACGATCATGTTGTCGGACATGTTCAGCCAAAGGAGACCCGGCGCGCTAGCGAACATGCCGGACATATCCTGTAACAAATTCGAATCCAAACGGATCGCCTGTAACGCGGGATTCGCGGTGAACACGCCGTCCTCGACCGTTTCGATTTTGTTCCGAGCCAGGTTCAATATCTGGAGCGCTGGCAACTCGGCGAAATCCTCGACTGTCACGTTGGTGATCTCGTTCCCGATCATTCGCAACCCGTAGAGGCTGGACATACCGCGGAACCCGGGCCTGTTCAAGCTTCTGATTTGATTTTCACCGAGATCAAGCGTGCGCAGCATCCTCATGTCCTTGAGCGCGACAGGTATACCGTCCAAACTGTTTCCGGAGAGATTCAGATCTTGCATACTGGAACAATTGCGAAAGGCATCCGGATGGATACCTTCGAGCTGATTAGAATCGAGCGACAGAAGAGAAAGTGCGAACAGCCCGTTCAAGGAATAGGCGTCCAGATAGGTTAATCGATTATACGCTAAATCTAGCGTGTGCAAATTACTCATAGGGGCGAAAGTATCGGCCGGTATCGTTTCGATCTCGTTGTACTGTAAATTCAATATTTGAAGGGTGTAAAGGTCTTTGAATAAGGCCGGGTCCAGTCGAGTGATGCGATTATGGGATAGATTCAATAGGACGAGTCGAATCAGACCGGAGAACGTGGCCGAGTTCAGCCAGGAGCTGGTCAACGCGTTTCTCGACAAGTCCAAGGCGACCAGCTGATTCATGTCCGCGACCAGACCGGGGGACAACACGCTGATGGAATTGTTCTGGAGACGCAATTCTTTCAACGACTTGGCCGCGTCCCGAAACATTTCCGTCGGCAACGCGACAATTCTGTTCCCAGACAGGTCGAACGTCTCCAGAGATCTGAGCCCGTGAAGCGCCTCGTCTGCTACCATGGAGACCGCGTTGCTCGACAAGTTCAACACGCGAAGTCTCTTCAGGGAAGAAAATCCGTAGGCGGGCAACACTAAAATTTGATTACTCGACACGTCCAACGATTGCACGTCGAGGGAGCAAGGGAAAGGAGACGTGGTCGATTCCTGTTGACGTCTCGGATGTTTCTCCGCGATATCCCTGAATCCGAGCTCGGTGATGTCCTTCAACATGTTCCACGAGATGTTCAACGTAAGAAGATTCGACAAAGGGCAAAACAAGTGTTCCGGTATCTGCCAGATGTTGTTCCACGATAAATCGATCTTCTCGATCTGTGGCACGGAGTCGAACGCCCCGCTCTCCAATTCCAAGCTGTATTTGCTTTTCCGCCCGTTCAAACTTCTGATCGTTAGATTACGAAGATCCCGCAAACCGCTCAAAACTTTCGCCGGCCAATGGACCAGCTTGCATCCGGTCAACCTTAACGATCGCAATCTCCATAACTGTACGAACCCGTCCACGTTCAGGATTCCGTTTTCCAACGATTCCGAATCCTCGCATACAACGTTGATCGAGGTCACGTATTCGCTGGTCGCCTGTGAAAAATTCGTCCTGAGGGAATCGTTCCCGGTGTAACGGTGGATGCAAGTGAGAGCGCCATCCTGCCGCGAATCCCACGAACAATGATCCGGTAAATCGAGTCTCGGCGGTAGTTCGCTGGTCACGGCGAGCACGTGGTATACCGGGATCAGAAGATAGTAGTAGAAGGCCAATGACAGCAACACCGATCTTCCGAGCCCTTCCGGATCGGCGAGCCCACGCATCTTTAGCGAACTCGTTGCCTTCCCTTGTTTCCGCTCCTCTGTCTACTTCCGGTCATTACACGCCGCTCCACGACTCGCAGACGTTTCGTTATTAACGCACGTTGTCGTCACTTGCGTACGCCCTCCAATATTTACTCCGAGTGACTGGCATGTGTGTGCCCCCTCTTTCGACAATCGATACTCGACTCACTTCAGCTCGAACACGTCCGATCGTTTTCAACAATTCGTGAATTTCGTTAATGGGAATTGAAGGGAACGAAGTTCACTGCCAGTCGACCTGTCATGTGAATAGCTCGTTTATGAACGATTCGAGGGAGCACGAGAGCGTTATCGCATTTCACTGAGTGCTTATACAAGTAGTTTACACTTTAAAGAATCACACTTCACTCGGTCGGCGAATCGTTCAATCCAGCGCGCGCGCGAGTACCCTTCATAACCTGCTGCAAACGCTACTACGCATTTCGACTCGCGAGACACTCGACTGGCTTGACTGGGAAAGTCCTTGACGATGTAACAGCGACAGAGTAAATCTCCGGATAATTACGTCGAAATGCTCGGTAATTTCAGTTCCCGTATCCCGTAAACTTCGTTTTCCATCCCTTTTAACAAAATTTAATTGTCCACAGTGCTGACTCACCGGCGAATCAACGTCATTTCCTGCAACTATGTTCATGCCTTTGCTCGACGACACTATGCTCGCATTCCGCCAAAATGCCGGAAGCTTCGTAACTTTTCCACCAAATGTCCCATGTCTCCGAGCCAAGGATAATCGACACTCTTCGAGATTACGATCTCTTCTCACTGAAATCCCGATATATTGCCCGACAAGCTAATCTTACGCGGGTTTTGTAAATGAAAAGAGCAAGAGAACAGACCACCGGAAATATAGAACACTTTAAACCGTAACATTCGGTACGGCGACCACCGCGCAACTGACGGTTGAGATCTCCACAGCATCTAACGCGACGCAGCGTCCACCAATCGTTCCTTCCCCCACCACTGGCGGCAGCACTAACACATCGAGGGCCGGCATTCAACGAGCACGCGCCTCTCGCCGGCCGACCGTGGAGGAAGAAGGACGGGATACGACCCCTCGTACTGTTCTTGTGTGTCTTTCTCTAACTTGAGTGAAAATCGCGTGTGTTTCTGTTCAACAAACGTCGGAAAGGTTCGTAGCTATACACGCAATACGTACGCAATAGTATAACGCGTAAAAAAAGATGGATCGTGCACGCAACCTGTTTCTATCTTCGCGTCGTTTAGTTCGTTCGTGCGGTTTAAAGTATTTTGCGTTCGAATTTGCATGTGCGTATGATTTTCTCTGAAACGGGACACTTTACACCACAATATCTATGCCTATCCTCATCCTACAAGATGAAATCTTATTCCTAAATGGACAACCATCCCGGATTACGAACAGAAAGGTAAGAATATATTATTATAAAATGGCGTCATTTTCGACTCGTTAGCATGGTACTGCGAAGTTCCAAACGTGACTCATCCGAGATAAACTATTACTATTATTCTACGTATTTTGATCGTTCCAAATAGTTTGTTTTGTTTATATTTCTTCGCAGTCCTTGCTTCTCCGAATCGATAAGTTTTTGTTTGGCCTTGTAAGAATTTTCGTTCGTTTCGTCAACGAATATTTCTAAAAGCAATATGGTGTTGTGTAATTGCGCATTCTTTTGCGCAGGTTTTCATAAGATCGCGTCACGCATCTAGAACTGAATCGTAATTTATTTCTTACCGATGATTTTTTGATTAATTCAACTATTTCCTTGTTATTATTTTTATTACTGATATTATTTTTATTGTTATTTTCTTTTCGTATTAGTTTCTGCTTAGTTAAATGATGCTTATTGCTGATTCATTATACCAATTAGACAAGGGGGGGGGGGGTGAAGAGAAAGGATAGGAAAATGACGAGCATAATCGTCGTCCATATTGAATTGTGTTGTAGATGGCGTAACTTTTCAAATAATAGTCTATGAATATTTATTTTTAGTTACATAAAATTAATTTTCTCATATAAAATTCTCAAGTGATATTAATATTGCAACAGCACATGTTCGTAATAATTTTGATATATCGTTAGAAAAAGAGAAGATACTTCGTGGTTTGTACGGCAAACATACACGAAGAATCACGAACCGGTCTCTCGTCTCCCCTTGTCGTTCTCATTTTTCTATCGCGATTCACGTGATATTCAGAGCACCATCCAATCCCCTTGTCCAAGGACTGCTCATAAAAACGTTTCGATCAATTTTTAAACGATCGGTCGTTCGTCGTGCTTTTCTGTTTCTCTTTCTACGCGGTTAGGGGGCTGGAAAGGGAAAGGGGAGAGGGTCTAGTCTCCTGTCGATACGAGCGTGGGTACGTATTTATATGTGCACCTCAGCGATCTTCGTGGACTATATCGAGATGTTCGATTTGTGTGTAACACGACGAATCGACTCCGCAGGATCGAGTTCTCGATACGCTTTGAATAAGCCTCGCTGATTCATTCTTGTCCACCCGTCGAGAGACTTTCGACTTGATCGATGGTGATCCCGGATGATTTGTATTATGTTTCCTGTCGCGATGAATTGAATTTCGGGGAATCTACGTGCGCACATCCAATTCGTTTCTCGTGCACGAGATAAGCGGCCTCGAAAGGAACTAAGATTAGACCGCGTTAAGAGTCACGCGCGATTCGATTAGAAATCTCGAGCGGCGAGTCATTGATACTCCCACACGGTTCGTTTCACCGGTGTATTCGATGGGAGAGTTTCTTACGGGAATGATTGATCACCGACTTAATTGACGCATACCAAGACGAAAGAGATCTTGGAGGGTATCACCTGTTACAAGGAATTATCGGTCATAAATAAGCATCTGCTCGTTCCTTCTCTTCGTTCGTTCAGGACTATATTATTTAATCCTGACAGAGACACTTTATTATAAGACGATAATTAACGAAGATTCTCAGACGGATGATTTCTTCAGCTGTATTACGCAACTCGACTGATAAAAATCAGCGAAAACTGGACTGGATATCGACAATCTCTTGAAACATAATTAATATTACTTCTTCTTAGCCTGGAAGAACGGAATCACGCTCCACGAGGGCGATCGTAATTAAAACTGTTAGGAATCGTGGAATCGTTATAATTCCGACGAAAGGCTCGCAGTAGATTTAAGGAAATTTCCTTTCGAGCGAAAAACAGCCGGGACAAAGTCAACCGTTGTTGTCCTAAACTCCAACGGTTTACCAAAAATAGATCTTTGTTGGTGAGAGAAAGAGAGAGAGAGAGAAAGAGTGAGCAACTCGCACGTATCATGTTTCTCTTCGGGGCAGGTGCTCTCTTTGGTGTAAGAAAGAATCAGAAACACTTGTTCGCGTTAGATAACTTGCTCTCTCTTCCTTCCTTTGCCTTTTGTTTATCTTATTTACACTCTGTTTTGCCATTTACTTTTTTCGAACTTGTTCAAACATATCGCTCTCTCTCTCTTTCTCTCTCTCTTTTGTCTACTAGTGGAAGAGCCGATAAATCGAGACTGCCTTCGTTCTCCTATTTCCAACCAGACCTCTCGCGAAACTTTCCTCCTTCTTCCGATTCGAAAATCAATTAGCGGCAGATTCAGTTTCCATGTAAAGAGGGATGGAATCGCGGTGGTGACGCGCGATCTTCTGGACGAAGTAACCCGCTCAGGCCAAGAACGATGGCGAAAAAGAAGTTTTAATTAAAGCTAGAATAAGAGTTTAATCGAGCAAAAGGGATTAATTGCCCAGGGGTTAAAACGAGAAAAGGGTCAAAGAGAGAGCTTTGCTGCCTCTCTTCTCGATGATTCCTAGCGACTTTCTCGAGTGGCGTGGACAAGAGAGGAGACAGCCCCATAAATACTCGCATCGAATTCTTCTATTCTAAAAGCTTTTTTCGTTCGCAAACAAAACCGACCGATACTCGTGTTACCGATGTTATTAAAAGCTACGAGCTTTTCGTTACAGTTAGCGTCCTTCGAGCACTTTTCGCCAACAAGATTTTTCGTTCGTCGCGTACGGGATAGTACGATTAAAAATCTTGTTTTATAATCAGAATAGTCGAAGGTAAATTATGCGTGTAATAGAATGCGACATGGAAAAATATTATCAAAACTAGGGAAGTATCGAGAAAATTTTCGTAGCTCGTCTTTAAGTTTAGAGATTGATGGTAATGATAGTTGAAATTATGAGATCACTCGATGTATTTAGAGTGAAAGTTTTCAGTTTTCGGGAGCCTGAAATCTTTGGTGATTTCGTAGAATCATTAGCGATCGTAAAGAAAGTTCGAATAACCGTTTCTTGTTCAATCGCTCGCAAACTTAGATCGTAATTTATGAGATTTTAAACGAGATATTAGATCGCACGATTGCCATAATTTTTAGAATCGCGACAAATTTCAAAGACGCATAAATTCTATCCTTTAGCTTTATTAATATGCGCATCTAACTGTTCGCTAATTACGCCACTGAAATCCCCTCTAAATTATTACGATATTACGTATAATACGACCAAAATTAGACACCTAGATATCATTCGAAACACGAAGTTCCGTTTCGATCTGTACACCGAACTTTCACGATTCCGCAGTACCATCAGATTCGAGACGAGGACACGGATCGATTGTGCAATGGCACAATTGTTGGCCGTAAAAAAAAAAAAAAAAAAAACCATATATCCCTTTCCCGATGTCGTTGATTTGACGATCCTTAAAGCGTATAAAAACTTGCTCGTGTTTCTCGCGTTCGTTAAAATAACGAATGTACAGTTAAAAGTACAGGGAACATCGATTTGGTCGCATAGTTTTTACGAAATACGAGCGGAGAAGTCCGAAAAACATTTGCCGTTTCGTATCGAGAGGCATCGGGGCCTTTCGATTCTCGCTTTTAACAGACCATATAGCGGCGTCGATCTATGACGTTCAAAAATATCCTACACGAGGAACGTTGTCGAGCCGTCTCTCTCTATAATGTGTCGGAGAACACGGCGTGCTTTACGACGATTTGATTTACATTGGATTTTTCCCGGCTGCCAGCTGTATTTCAACCCTATGCCCCGTCGAAAAATCTACGGCCAACGCGAAACGCCCACACCTTCGTTCATTGCTCTTTGTCAAACAAGTTTGTTGTCGGGGTGGTCGCGATACGAAGGAAAAAGCGAATATAAAACGAATATCGTGTAGGTATCGCGAACACCTGGCCGTGCTACCTTCCATTTCACCCAGTCTGGGAAAACATTCTAATTTTCGAATCTCGATACGAGAACAAGATGGCCGATAGCGTGTATCGAGACCTTGTTTTCGTGAATTTCGCGTTCGTAAAAGCTCTTATACTCGAAATTCGATCCCTTCGTCCCTCATATCAAAAATATTTTTAATATTATTACAAAATTATTATTACTATTTATATACAGAAAATCGAGATATATTTAAGTAATTATTCTTACTCTCTTGCTCTCTTGTTCCCTTCCAAATACAAGCGAACGGACAATGAGAAATAAGAGCGAAAATAAGAGAGAGAGAGAGAGACACAAATTGGAAGGGAAAAAGAAAGTAATTGGCAATCAGTCCGCGGCTGTGTTTCAATATTGAAACGCTCGGTGGTATTTACAATTTATTGAAAGATCGTAGACGTCGAGTTAAGTAAAGGGTTGAGGGGCGGAAAAGAAGATTGAAAACTCCGCGAGACGTTGAGAAAGTATCGGTATTTTCGAGGTATATGATCTTTACGACGATCTGGCTTTTCTCGATCTCCCGTCAACCCAAAGTCTTCTAAAAAAAATTTTCCCCAAAACGCAATTTCGTCGACTCTTCGTTGAAAATGTACGCGCGTCTGTGTTTCTTTCGAGTTTACACAGGGGAGTAGCGGGGTGCGGGAGAATTAATGGTTATCATACCGTGGCTACATCCAACCGCAATTGTTTTTACGTCCGTGCGAGAAGAGTGAGAGAGGGAGGGGAAAAACAGGAAGGGAGACGTGGTAAAATTTTACTGTGCATCGCGACGTGTTACGTATACGGTATGCGCGCGAGCGAGAGATATACACGGGCGAAAAGTTTTCGCGAATAAAAGAAGGTTTTCGCGCTGCAGAAGGCGCAACACTTTCAAACAACCGCATTTCGACGCGGAATTTTCCACGGTACACGGGCGGAACGAACTATCCGGATGCGGCAAATGAGACAACCGCTTCCCGCAGTAGTTGTCCTGTTTAAGAAGATTGACCATCGGCATCGCGTGAACTCTCGGCTTTCTTCGCAGAAACAACTTTAACCTTTCTCCCGGTTAATTTAACTTTTAAATTTCGCCCACGTCGCAATGCACGGGAAAATTTTGGAATAATATTTTTACCAAGTGTACTGGAAATTAATCGGTGTATATATATCTTGGATCGATTTTCTTTCGTACGACATTCGCTTTCGTTTTTTCAAATCAAAGATTTTGATTTGATTTTCAAATCAAAGATAATTAGATAAGAAATTTAGGTTAATTTCGAATTTTCTTTTTTTCCTCTTTCTCCACATTCGTGAGGATTTCCATGAATCGAAAATATTCGATCTTTCTGCATAGTTATGATTTTTGAAAAAAGAAAAAGAGCGTGGCCGCTCGATATTAAATTTATCGTGCTATTTCGTGAAACATCGTCGTTCGTCCGTGGCCGCACCGGCTCGTTAAATCGTCCACCTGCGACGAAGAACAAAACCTCGAGGGGAAAGATCGATTCGCGTGCGTGCAATTTTTTACTCGTGCACCCGATCCGATTGATGCAAGTCGGATCGATTCAAGGGGAATGGATCCCCTTTTTGTTAGAACCGCGTGTCTCTACTTCGAATTCCAAACGTCTGCCCCCGGCTCCACCGCCATTCGTTCGATTCAAACCGATTTCTCGCCGGGAACGGACTTTCGTTTCGAATTTCATCTTTCTCCTCTCCTTTCACGATAAATTGCCGGCGTGACGGCATTAATCGAAAGATTGGCAAACGAGCTGTTATAAACGCTGATTCGAAAGACAACACGAAAATTTATCTCCATTTCGAGGAAACGGGGGGGACGAGAGACTCGTCGAATATCAAATGTATTTCGATCCTCTGTGTGTAGAATCGAACAAAGTGTGGTAAAAAAAAAAAAAAAAACCTGTGAATCGGATCCGTGATAAAATTCTTTTCGATTGTAAACCGCGCGGTTTCGTACAACCTTTTTTTTCCTTTTTTTTTTTCGTCAGCAATACTAGATTGTTAATTTGTCGCGTAGAACGCGCGTCGAATGCAACTATACGAGCGTGCATGATCTGGTTTCAGCGCGACGAATCCCTCTTTCAAGCTGCACCGGTACAACCTGAGCGACATTTAACCGGAAACTTGATATCGGTGGACATTCACCGCTGTGAGCTCTTTCAATTGATCGTGGCCTACACGACAATGAGGATCAACTACGTCGAACAGCATGGAGCGGGGACGGGTGGTGAGACGGCGCTGCTGCTTCGAACGAACAGGTAAGAATTCGCCAAAGATCTTTTGTGCGTTATTGGGTTTGAAGATTCCGGTAAATGGAAACGTTTCTGGGGGAATTCTTCAAGCTCTGATAACGATTATCGATACGCGATAGACCGATCCTCGACCATATTGTTCAGAAATCGTCGATAGAATTCTTTAGTATCCTTTATGACGAAATGGCCGGTTACTTTGCTTTATGGATTTCTATGGACATTATTATATAGATAAGCACGATTTAGAAATTTTGTGTCGAGAATTGGTAACGTATATGCGAAGCGAGATGAAGAGCTTACACGTTCGAAACTACTTCGAACTACCACGCGTTGAAACCACTTAAGGAGGTTCTTGTGTACGTTACCCTCTGCCTCTTTAAACAATCTCGCGCTCTTATGCGTTTATCTTTCGCATCGCACGACACGTAGTAGTAGATAGATAGTTTGTCTTTTCCTACGTCTTAAACAAATTTTTACGTTTGGGGATATTCACACGTGCATATATATATATATCGAAGGTCGCCGATTTTTTTTTGATTCGATTCTTACTTGCAACCCTTATTTCGATCTCGCAATTTTAATAATCAAACGATTAACTTATCGACATTGCTGTATCATCATAGATCATAGATAGATAATAGATTTAATTTTCGTACAAAATTTTCTTCTCTCTCCACCAATCGACGAGAATCGAAACTTATGCACGCGTATCATTCAAAAAACGTTAAATTCAGAACTCTCCTCGATCCGTAATTCTATGTATCCACAGGCTCGCTGACCGTCCAATCGATAGCCTTTCATTATTATTTACCTGGAGCGGATTGCGCGCCAGGATTTTTTATCCGCTATCCGGATAACCGGTAAATATCGAAACGAATTTCCCTTCAATTTTTCCCTTCCTTCATCCCCTTTCATCCAACCTTCACCGCCAGTTTCGCGATACCTACCTCCCCCTTCTCTCCTTTCTCTCTCTCTTTCTCTCGTATTTGCTTATTGCAACTCGACGGATCGCGTGAGCAAACATTTAAACGGATCGAAACAAGGGGAGGCGCGCGATGAAAGATTGTTTACGATCCCGGAGCACGTACGCCGTAGATACATCTCGAAATACGGCGTCGGTGAACGAGACGGTGGCGCGTGTAGCTTTATTGGAAGGAATCGGTCGGCGGAAACGTGCAACAATTTCGGTCTCGAGACCGATACCGAAGCGTATCGTAACGCCTTCTTCGCGAAGAGAACCGCGTTTGATGGAATTCTTTCGGTGTCTGGCTCGTCGATGGCAGGGCGTGTCCGCGCCCATTATACGAAAATCGAACGTCGTCGCGGCAATCATAACGGTTTCCAAAAACCTTTCTCGACGACGATGACGATCGTCGTGGATCGTTTATACGGCTCGCTAGAATGGGATGGAAATGCACGCGTCCACGTATAAACGGCGCTATAAACGCTGGATCGATGGGAACACTTTGGCCGAGGAAGCGATTCTAAAAATATCTCGTCTCGTTTTAAATCCAAACGGCGCTGTCCTTCCCCTCTCCCCCGCGAACGGGGCTGATAAAGTTCAACGGAATCCGAGGAGGCCACTCCTCCCTTCGTCTTCCTCCGCTTCTTCCTCTCTCGTCGCGAGGTCACGGTTTCACCAACAGAGATCTAATGGAATACAGAACGAACGAGTTTCAAAGAGGCGCGCGCGATACTCGAGGGGAGGGGAGGGAAGAAGCGTCGAATTACCCGCGCCGTGGAAATTCCTCCGCTTTCATTCGGGGAGGAACGAGTCGTTGGAGGAAGCCTACGGTCTATACTCGGATAAACGTGGCTCCTCTCGACCTGTTTCACCGATTCCACCGATTCTGATGGAGGGGGCAAGTCCCGACAAAAGCGCGCGACGACAACAGGAAACAACGGCGATCGATTTTTCTCGGTGGAGCGCCGGGTCCTCCTCGCTTCGCGCGGCTAATTTCAGAGACAATGGGCCATCGCCAGCTTTTATTCCGTCCGTGAGGTGAAAAAGACGGCGAGACGGGGGGCGACGACGGTTGCGAACTGGAGGGAGAAAGAGGATTCGGCCTAATCAGAGGAGAGGTACGTCGTAATTCGGAGGCGCGGATAACGCGGGGCCGACTAATCTAATATCGAAGCGAAATTACGCATAAGGGATGCAAATCCACCCTTGCACCCTTCCTCGTCCTCCGGCGCGCGCGCGCCCTAATAAACTCCTTTCATTAGAGCCACCCTCCTCACCCCTTGCGCGCGATAGTGGCAGCGATGGCGATGGCGGCGGCGGCGAGCGAACAAACTGTGCAGTCGTAACGCACAAGGCCTCCGGCAACAGCTGCGGAACGAAACGGGCTCGCGTACTCGCGGTTTCCCTTCCCAATGAACCGCTGCGCTGTCTCGTTTTTCCCCCGTCTCGCCTTCGATCCGATTCCTTTCTTCCTCTTTTTTCCCCTTTCGTCGTTCCATCCTTCCAATCTGGAGCGTACGAACACGAGGGGAAATATATTCGAACACGTTGTTAGAAATTAGCCTTAGTTACGGGACATTTCGTTTTAATTAAGGGTTAAGGATTTTCAATTTTCTATTTTCTACGCGGTGAGAAACGTAACGAATTACCGTACAATTCTTATTCAATGCGGAATAACAATTTGGATGTAAATTCGCAAATAGATTCGCGATACAAAATTCATCACTGTTTTTAAGCATTGCATTCAATCCCTGAAACGAATACCGCGGATGTGAATGTATGGGGAAACTTGGATCGCTTCTGTTCTCGAGGAAGCGTTACGTTAGGTTACATACGAGAGCAGAATTTGACCCGCTATAGCAACCGTTATATCCATACAATACGAGGGTGCAACGACGAATGCAGGCTCGCTTCGAGCGAATATGAAATAAACGGTGAGAAGAGAAACCTCGACGTTTTAATTACTGGTATTTAGTCGGAAAGGGGGCCTCCTCTCCTATTTTCCTTTTTCTCCCGAGATTTTCCTCCGGTAATAAAGCGTTCGACTAGCCAGAGAGTCGCAATTTGCTCGAATTTTCCTAAACGGACAGTCTCATTTCGACCGCGTGAATCGCGTTAATAGCAACGTTGGATGGAAATCGCGCGCATTCAAGTTTCACCCCCTGTTTCCCGCGGATTTACCAATGTGAAAAACCGGGATTAAAAACGGGTAAGGCGTGAAAAGAATTCCATTAACCCTCGACAAGTCTTCACCCTCCCCCTCTCTTCACCGCTCGAGGGGGATTACTTATTACCCTGGATGGAATCGGGTCAGGAGAATGGAATTTGCCAGCGCGTCCTGATAGATGCTTAGATATCGGTGCTGTATTAACTTGTTGCCGCGAACATTGTCGAGATCGCGATTAAACTTCTCTTAGTTTAATCGTAAATTCCTAGATTTCGGGTGAACGGAACTTCGTTCCGATAACCAGGCGAAAGAGGAGGCCGATATCGAGAAAACCTGTAGCTGACACCGTGGAAAAAGTCATGCATAAATTAACAGTTCGCCGAGATTACCTCGGCGAAACGATCCAGAAACGAGAATTCGATAAACGAGCGAGATATAGATCTCGAGAAAGCTCGACAGCTCGAACGTCAGCGTAGTTTTGCGAATTTATCGGGAGGAAAAGGAGGAGGGGGGAAAAAAAAAGAAGAAGAAGAGAAAGAGAGGAAAGAGGAACGAAACGATGGGAGTGGAATTTTTTTTAACAGAAAAACTCGCCCGGTTTGTGTTTCGGTCGATGGTACACGGAGAGAGTTCGGCGGAGTGAAATATTTAAAGCTGTACGTCTCACGTCAGCTTATGATACGTGCACACGAGCTACCCGGCCGCGATATGGATATCATTAACCGGGCGTATTACGAGTGTCACGGACTTTAACGACACCGGTACCTCGTTACCGGATAGGAATTAATTATTTCAAGGTAATGAAGTGTCAACGAAGGGGACACGTTGTTCGAAGTTATTCGACGGAAGATATTCCCTCCTTGGCGGGAGAGGGGGTGGGTAGGGGATGCAGAGATCGGTGCACGTCGAGAGTTATTTCTAGTTATGGGGGTGATCCGCGGTGCCAGATTACTCGGATCGTGTAATATCCGAAGATTGAGGGTAAATTACGGGGCATGGGCGGCCGTGTCACGCGTGGCATCGGTCACTTTAATTATACGCACGAGTCGCCGTTCTCTAATATCGCTTATATCGCTTAGCGATGAGATATCCAAGTAGTGGAAGATTAGTATACACGTAGCTCGATTTTCAGATTTTCACGGATTTTCGAATTTGTTTTATTTTGGGGGAAAGGAAAAGGTAAGCCTTTGTTCGGTTACATCGATTCGCGAGCTCTCTTTAAGCAACGCGATCGAATGCGTATTAATAAATTGAATACGTCGTTGCGGATTGGATACAGGGTTTCGCGGAATTAAAAAATTGGAATAAGAAACGTTGAATCACCGAGCGTGGGGCGAGGAAAGTCTCGTGAGATTCCTCAGCTGCCGGTTAAATCGTTTTCTGGTACAACACCGCTGGTCGTTTCCGTATTTCTTTCTCAAAAAGGAACCCCGCCGGTTCCTGCTTCGAGGCCGAACCGAAAAAGCGGTAGGTCCGTTCCGTGAAACGTAGGAAGCTACTTATCCCACCGACACTTCGCGAGGGTTTCATTATCCGGCGGCATAATGATATGGCACTTAGGAGCGCGTACGAGCGGCAGCTTGTGCGTTCCATGGCGTTTTCAATGGCCGCGAGAAACCGTTCCGTCCGAGATGGAGGCCGTAGTTCCTTAGCTACTAGCACGCGGGAGACGAGGGGTGGACGGCCTAAGGTTTTACCCCTTTTGTCCCTTAACATCTTTGCAAGCGGCGACATGTCAAACGGCCCGTCCCCGTTCCCTGTCCTGGGAATATAAACAAAGAGCCGACGACAGAGCAAGTATAATATCCCTTCGCCCTGACCCCCTCGTTCCTGCTCCACTCCCCTCCGGCACTTTCGCTCCACCTCGTCCCTCCG